CCCCCCGAAAAAACCCAACCCTGTCAATAAAAAAAAATGTCACAGAGCAGATAGAGTGAACCCCACATGCCATTCCACGGATTAAACATTTTTATGGTAGTGGAAAAAACGTATGCCAAACAAAATGTGCATTATATCAGCTAGGTGTCTATAGTGCGGTCAAAGATTTGTGGATCGACTTATCGTCAAATACCTCATCAACTATCGAACATAGATTCTCCAATTTTTGCACAGGGACTGGTATCAATTTGTCTTAACAGATCAACACTTTTGTAAATACCTGCAAGATGTATTCTAGAAAATTCCTTAATAAAAACTAATAAAAAATCCCAGTGGGTGGTTTCTACAGATTTTTAAATGTTTACAGCTAGGCAATATTGCTTTTAATAGCAAGTCCGACAGATTTTTCTAATCGGGACCTAATGCTTATTGAACGCATGTTTCGAGAGCTATTTGTGCAAAAATGTGTTCACTTTAACAATAATTTCTTTTAACAAGTTTTGCAAGTAAAAATTGTCATTGATGATCTGTGACGTAGGCCATATGCGTAATCAAAATGTGTGTGAGAAGCGGGAAGTGTTGTGAACAATACCATTTTACGTTTGACAGAGATTTCAAGTATTTTATATAAATTTATGAAGAAAAGTTTGTTAAATCTATCCGCCCCCAATTGTTCAGGAAAAATATGATTTAGTTAAGACAAATTGATACAAACTGCTATGTAAAGTATGGATGACACTGATTCATCCGTAAAAGACATATTTGAGGATAAGTTGCACCAAGAATTTTTGACTACTCTATAACAATGTTAACCCATGTGACAATAGGTAGCGCCGTTTGATCCAATGATGAAGTGCAACAGAACAGAAACGTGAGGTTAAGTCCCCGAAAACGTGAACATAAAAAGCATTGCTGCCAGAGGCGAAGAAGTCTTTGGTGGGTTGAGATGGGTTTTTTTCGGGTTGTTTTAGGGGTGGGGGGAGCAGGGGAGAAAGACTTGGTGGGTTGAGATGGGTAGCTCTTTTTCGTTATTTCTTTTAAGGACTTCTGGTGTTGTTTTTTTGGTGAGAAAGCTGCTGGGCTGAGAATAATTCGGGAGTACATGATAATACAAAACTCAAGAAACGCCGATAAAGTTAACGAGGCACGGCCCACCCACGTGATGTGTATGGAGGACGAGACATCCGATCGGAAATTGGAGGATGGGATACTTCCCGAAGGACTGGCTCACTACCGGCCTTGACTTCCTGAGATGGGAAGATTGGTCAATATTTTGAAAGTTCTTTACGTCTGCAAGAGATTTTTAAAAAATGATGATGTGCGGAAAAGGTGGGGAGCATGTGGCTGTTGGCTGATGTGTGGGTGATAGTCAGCGAGAGAAAGGTAGATGAAATTATCTTAGGGAGGGAGAGAGAGAGAGAAAGAGAGAGAGAGAGAGAGAGAGAGAGAGAGAGAGAGAGAGAGAGAGAGAGAGAGAGAGAGAGAGAGAGAGAGAGAGAGAGAGAGAGAGAGAGCGGTAAAGGAATGAGTCAGGCATACACTTTCAGGCAAGTCTATCAGAGAGATAGACAGGCAAAACGTTTTATTGCTTGACAAAAGAAACATATTATTATAACATGTATCTAAAAAAAACTTTTTTTTTTGGTAGGAATTAGACCCCCCCCCCCCTTTTTTTTTCTTTTGGTTATCTCTAAAATCCACTCAAACAAAACGCATCGTGGTATGGTAAGAAGAGACT